CTGTTGCATTGTGGTAAACTGTGGTCAATGACATGAGACAAAGTATATGTGAACTGCTGTATGGAAAGTGAATTTGCTCTGTAAATCTTCACCCAAATCAAAATAAAAAAAATTGAATCTGCTTTGGGGTCACCCAAAATAAGACAAGTGTTTGCATCACAGGCTTAGCTGTGATGGGGAAAGCAGAATAGTAAAACTGAACCTTGTAGGGGGCTTATGCCAACAGGAGATTATCAAAGCAGATAATCAAAAGCAGGAGGGTTTAGCCTTTTACCACACCTTGTTCACGTCAAAATTCTCCTGCACGGGAGGATTCGGGCATCTCCCAGGATGAAATGCCTGTCCCTTTGCTGCACCCATGAAGAGGCCAACCAGGGTGGAAAGCAGCAACACTATCAGGGCCATCTTGGGGTCGGTGGTTGCAGATGGAACCTGGAGTTGGGGAAAACAAAGCAGGTAGAGTCATTCTAAGCCTCCTATGACATGCAATCACAGGAGAAAGATGTCTGGGCTTGTCGACCCTCTGCAGGCATCCTCCCACTCGGCCTCTGAACCAGCCCTTCCCCTCTGTATCCACCTGAGTTGTCACCTCCTATAAGCCCTTCCTGCCACTCTCCAAGTAGGACTTATTCTCTCTCTCTCCAGGGTTTAGTGTACCTTCATAAGAATACACTCTGTCTAGTATCAGAGTTTGTTGGGTTTATTTTGCTCCTCCTTCCCTTCCCCCAGTTATGCATTCCTCAAGGTTGGGTACACTATCTATATATTCTCTGAATCACCCACAGAACCTAGTGGTGTCAGGCTCAATAGATACTTGTTCAGAGAATAGAAACAATGTGGAAGAATAGGCACAGGGGGACATAGAAGCTTCTAGTAAACCACGAAAAGAAAGAAAACAAGTCATGTACAACAAACATTCAGTGTTCTATAAGACCCTCACAAGGGAAATGTCTTCCCTGATGTGCCCCTTTCCAGCCTTCCCCATCCCTCATCTTGGGCTGTTCTAACAATTCAAAAGTAGGCCTGGAACCTTACCAAGGAACAGCATGCTGGGGACATCAGAGTCACCCTGACTGGGTTTGAATTACACCACATACTATGTATGTTGTTAACTGCCATCGAGTCAGTCCAACTCATGGCAACTCCATATAAAACAGGATATGACCATTGTGATCCATAGGGTTCTCATTGGCTGAGTTTTCAGAAGTAGATCACCAGGCCTTTCTTCCTAGTCTATCTTGGTCTGGAAGACTTGGTCTAGAAGTTCCACTGAAACCTGTTTAGCATCATAGCATTTGTTGCTTCCACTGACAGACAGGTGGTGGCTGCTTTTGAGCAGCATTGAAGAGGACTCAAACTCAAGCAGAATTCTACCACTGAATCACACCACTCCCCATGCTCTATGTAAATATGTCCAACTTATGCCTTAGTTTTCTTGTCTATTGAGTAGAAATAATAATCATACCTAGCTCATGAAGTTTTATGAGGATTAAACAAGGCCATATATGGTGAGCACTTAGAGCAATGTCTTACACAGAATAAAACCCAAAATGAAACCCACCACTATTGAGTTGATTCTGACTCAAAGTAACCCTGTAGGACAGAGTAGAACTGCCCCATAAGGTTTCCAAGGATGCCAATCTTTACGGAAGTGGATTGCCTCATCTCTCTCCTGCGGAGCGGTTGGTGGGTTTGAATTGCCAACTTTTTGGTTAGCAGCCCAATGCTCTCTAATCACAGCGCCACCAGAGCTCCTCGATGCAGATTAAGGGTTGAATACATGCTAATTATTGTTATCATTAGAAGTGGAAACAAATGACTGCATTTCCTAAAAAAAGAAGGGTTTTTGCTGACCTCCTGTTGAAGTAGTTTCCATAGATGATGCACTTGTAACCAGAGAAGGACTGGTAGCTGATGGGTAAGCTACTTGTGCAGCAAGGTCTGAGGTGGGGCAACGGGGCTGGGAAGGGGAGGCGGCAGTGCTGGTGGAAGGGGATAGATGTCCTGGGATCCTCCCCTGGTTTTTTTTTTCTCACTAACTTGCTTTCAATTTTTTCCCTTCCTTGTGACTCCTTGCCTGTAACTGCACACAAGAGCTATTTCCAGCTCTTTGCCTTTCTCCCTGTGATGACGATGACTGAGTCAAGGCAAGCAGAATGTTCTCAGATCCAAGCATTTAAAAGGCTGTGTCATAACAGGGATAATTATAACCACTTTATTATGAGTCTCTAAACCTCCAAATAACCTTTAATAATCAATTGGTTTTCTTCTGGAAGTTTTGTTGCCTGGTTTTCAAAAGAATAGTTATGTAATAAGTAAAAGCTGCCAGCTGGAGGTGGCAGGGGAGAGGGGCAGCTGCTGAGGCCCCCAGACCACCTTCCTTATCTGTGAGGCTCCTTTCCCCAATCAGTTCCTACTGCTATGTAAACAACACCTGTCTTTCTTCCTTTCTTCTTCAAATATATATACAGTTTTAAAATTTTTGTTGTTGAGAATATACACTGCAAATCATACACCTATTCCACAGTTTCTCATGTACAGTTCAGTGACATTGATTACATTCTTCAAATTGTGCAACCATTCTCACTCTCCTTTTCTGAGTTGTTCCTCCCCAATTAACATAAACCCACTGCCTCCTAAGTCTCCTATGTATAAACTTTCCTATATAATCTTTCTAGCTGTCAGTTTGATCCATATAGATAGATCCTGAAAAAGCACAATACTTAAGGCAGCCATTCTTTACTAGTAAAGCTTGCTTTTAAGAACCCTTTAAGCAATAAGATGACTTCAGGACAACCGTTTTAGGGGTTCATCCAGCTTCCATGGCTCCAGAAAGTTTGAATTCCATGAGAATTTGAAATTCTATTTTGCATTTCCCCTCTTTTGATCAGGATTCTTCTGTAGAACTTTTGATCAAACTGCACAACACCTGTCTTTTAATCTTTCTTGGGATCATGGCTTTATAGAAATTCAGCCTATATCCACAAAAATTTCAAGAGATGTTTAGAACCACTGGAGTTCTATTCTTGGTCCCTCAGTAGGCCCCAAGTTAAGAGCCTTGCCCAGATGATCTAACCTCAAAAGATGGCCACATGTTATGCATATTCTACTGGGTCCCCAAAACTGAATGGAATTGTTGAGGTCATCTATCCAACCCTTGGATGGCACAAATGGTTTTGTGCTTGGCTACTGGTAGCATAGTGCCTAAGGCACTTGACTGCTAACCAGAGGGCTGGCAATTCAAACCCACCAGCCACTCCTCGGAAGGAAGTTTGGGCAATCTATTTCTGTAGTGATACTGCCTCGGAAACCAAGGAGGGGTCACTATGAGTTGGGGCCGACTTGATGGCACATAACATAACACTAACCTAAAGGTTGGTGGTTTGAACCCACTCAGCAGTACTGTGGAATAAAGACCTGGAACTCTGCTTCTGTGAAGATTGTTGTTGTTGTTGTTGTTATGTGCCGTCGAGTCAGCCCTGACTCATAGCGACCCCTCCTTGGGTTTCCGAGGCAGTATCACTACGGAAGTAGGATTGCCCAACCTTCCTTCCGAGGAGTGGCTGGTGGGTTTGAACCACCAGCCTTCTGGTTAGCAGTCAAGTGCCTTAGCCACTATGCTACCAGAGCTCCAAGAAAACCCTATGGTGAAATTTTACCCTATAATGAATAGGTTCTCCATGAGTTGGAATTGACTCAATGGCAAGGGGTTTTGTTTCTTTCATCCAACCCCTGCCCCTCCACATGTACAGGTGGTGAAGCTGCACCCCTAAGGTGAGCAGAGACCTGGGAGTCACATTCCATCTCTTGCACCCCAGTCTGCAGCGGCCTTGCATGATGCTTCCTTCAGGTCAATGTTTCCATCCACACCACTTTTGGTGGCTTTCAACAAACACCTATCTCTATAACCTGGTGAGTCTCACTTCACACTTGACAGTTACAGCAAAAGTCAGTTCTACATCTTAGTCTGACAAATATAATAAAATGTTCTCTTGTGGGCTGAAACATTTTCCTTCACTCTGTAGGAGGATTCCAGAGCAAGGCTAATTCCCCTTGATTGCATCTCTTTTAATGATGCTGCCTTGTTTACATTAGTTTTATTCCTACCATTAGAACTTGAGAAAGAGTTGATGTCATACCTAACTTTTTCAATGCCTCTTCCATTCTAATTCACCCAACACTTTCTGAATCCCTTCTGAGGGTAAAGCACATTACTGATTCATAGCTACGATCTTAGGGAAATATAGATTATATATGACATAGTTTTGTGTACTCTTCTGATACCAATTGGAAGACAGGAGAGTTTAAATAATTTAAAATGAATATTATTTAAACATCACAAGTAATTCTAATAAAGTTATGGTGTATTCACCCTGGGCAGGGTCCTGACTCTGCAGATAGCGGCTCACATTCATTTAGTTTCCTCTTTCCGGCCCCGGAAGCCCTATCTCCAGTGATTTACTGTGAGCTACGCACTTCATCTCCATAACACCTTCTGTGGAAGGTGCCTGAACTCATAATCTCTTTACACTCAGCGAGGCTAACCTGCCCAGGTGACTTCCTGGTAAACTGCCAAGCCAGAATTTACCCTCAGGTCTCCTAAGAGCCTATGTTATTATACACACTGCTGGTTTTTTTGGACACTGTTGGGTTTTCTGGACACAGAGAAAAGTAGGACCTAGACCCTGATCTCAGGAAAATGCAGAGCATTAAGGAATAGATTTTTAGATTTCACATGATAAAATGCATATCCACAATTAAATGGATCTTAAAATCCATTTAACCATTGACTCTAACAAGAAATATGTCTGCAGAAGAAAATATTTTTCAGCTATATTGTTAAATGCGTTTCCTTATTCATGCAATTAATTCTAGTTAAGTTTTCTGTAATGCGTGGTTGGATAACTACTTCCTGAGTATTCAACTAGTATAGTACTGGTGTGCAGAAATTTTCTTATTTGGCATGAGGGGATGGAATAGTGCATGGAGAAGACTTTGAGGTGAGTCAATCCTAGGTTTGCACCCCAGCTCTGACACTTTTTGGCAGTCTTATCTTATATCTCTCACTGATTACATCTAAACTCAGTTTCCTCACCTGAACAATAGTACTAATAATACCTACCTGGTAAGGAAGTTGTGAGGAAAAATGAGACCAAGTCTGAAAAGCTACTGGCAAAATCCCTCAGTTAGTGGTAGTTACTATTTTTAGCCAAACAGTGGTAATAGAAAGTCAAGACTGCCCTCATTTTAAACATTATTTGTCATAAATGAAAATTAAACCTACATACCTTTTTTTTTAAATATCAAGGTGAAGGCAGTTTCCACCTGCAAAGTCATCCAAATTGAGATGCCTGTCTTAGTGGCTGCCTTGTCCCAAGTTACTTTATAAGATTTATAAGGTCATT